AGTAGGGAAGTGTTTTTCGATTAAAGCTAGGAACTTATGTCCTAGCTTAGGAATAACCATTTGGTTGAACAGAGGGGTATACCAGATGATTTTTCTTTTCCTGTTTTTCTTTCTGTTAGTGCTATTGTTTCTATCACTTATGTTAGTGTTTTTGTATCCGCTATTTTTTAGGGATGTGTTATAAAAATTACTATGTTGTCGGAATATTTCCTTATTAGCGGAGTTCATGCTGATTCTTTTCTCTATTGATGTAGGTATATGCTTAATTATAGATGGAGGGCGGTTTGACTTAGGGTGTACATACACGGGATTAGTGCTAGGTTTTCTGTAAGGTAGGTATATGTTGTTCATTAAGTCTAGAGTTACGTCGATGAAGTTTACCCTTTTTAATTTACTGTTGACTATAGCTTTTAAATTTAGTTTTCTGAATTCATTATTTATTATCTTTCTAATTTTATCTGTTTTAAAATTTGTGGCGCTCCTCACTACCATGAGCCCGTCATCCCTGTATAGACCGATGTTCTTAATGTCTAATTCACGGTGCGCGGTTAGATTGTACAGTATAAATAGACCGACAAGGTCAGAAGACTCTGCAGAGTTTAAAGAGCCCATGGTGATGTCAAAATTGCCATTAGTGTTTTTAATCCATTGGTCCCCATTGTGGATGCGGACCGATTTTTTTTGCACTAAGAATTATGTTCATTTCTTCCTTAGTTAAGTCAGAATATACTGTAGCAAACTTCAGGGCAGTCGTGAAGAGGTCATTCAATATTGACTGGTAATAATCCACAAATATCGAACTGTATTAGGGTGCAGTCAGGTTTATTGTACCGACAAGGCGATCATGTATCTTTTGAGATTTTTCCCCGCAGTAGACCAGTTGCCATACAAGTCTATAGAACCCCGTCTATCCTGCTATTTATCCATAGCTGAGGGGAGAAGAAGAGGATTCATACCTTTTCCAAGGTTATTAGCACATAAGTGAAAGCAATGGATTCGACTGGAATTCGAACTCGGCTCTCCGATTCTTCAATCTGAGCCGCTATCCATGGCTCCACCGTGATCAGACGTCTAGCCACACTGAGGAGCTGTGATACAGCGAAACAGTCTATCTGTGCATGACTATGCTGCGCCTTTAACAATGATTTTTTAAAGAAAAAATCGAAGTAACAATGGGTTCGCCTCTTACCAGAGGTTTAGCTGCTCTTATCGTTTCTTGAATCTGGTCCTTGGCTAAATAATCAACACATATCTGTTATCTTTCAGACGATTTATTAATATATTTCCGCAAAACAACATTATCTGATCAGATAAACTAAACAAAGTCGAACGTACAATAAAATTAACTGATAAGACAGAAACAAGCAATACATTACCTTTCCTTGGTATCATGATAATCCGTATTGGCAATGAGCAAGACCTAAGTGCCTATCGTAGATCAACTAAAGAAATTATCTCGTAAATATCCTGTATATTCTCACTATCGTCGTCGTTGGCTTTATCTTGTACCCAAGAATTTAATTTATTCTTTTTTGATCGCTTCCTTTATGATGATGGCGTTATGTAAACCGATTCTTGCATGCGAGAACCGATGATATTGACTGCACGGAAGACGAGGTCGATATTGTCGAGGATTTCTCTCTTGTCGTTACTTTTCTCTTCTGGGTGGCTTCGAAGTTTTTGGCTCCGATGCTGACGGAACACCGCCATTTTGTACGGTGTCGGCCTTGAGTTTCAAAAGATTTGGGCACAAGTCCAGTGGCTTTCAGTGCTGATGCTCCTTGTATTCTTGAAAAAGGTAAACCTTTGGTCTTTTTCCTTTTCGGTGAATAAGAATTGTGAAAAATTGACTCTCCCATAATTGCTACATGTCATAATCCTGGAAGTGTATATATATATATATATATATATATATATATATATATATATATATATATATATATAATTTTTTTCTTCTATATTCTCACAATTCAAAAAATATGTTTCGGCTTTAAATAACACATAAAGAATTGATAAGCCGTAAAAACAACTTTTTTCTTAATCGAGCGTCAGTCATGACGTTTCCTATTTTCTTTATCTTATCATATATATATATATATATATATATATATATATATATATCTTACTGTTATTTCTTTTTACAAGAACCATATTTTATACCAGTTAATTTATAATATATATATATATATATATATATATATATATATATATATAAGAATATAGCACACTTTAAAACTATATTGCTTTATATATATATATATATAAATAATATATATATTCATATATATATCCGTTATATATTGATATTGTTCATATAAATTTCTGAAATATTGTTATTTTACAGGTGTTTCGTCTGTTCATATTTCATATATAAATGTTGTTCTTGTTTTTTTCTCTTAGTAAATCAAAGCATTAGTTTTGTGTGAATAATTCATAATTATAAATTGATTGCACGTTTATTGTAATATATATATATATATATATGAAAAATATAGTCTTTAGGTGTGCTATATTTATGGGATAAAGTGCTCAATACCAAAGATAGAGCGTTGCAAATTATATATAAAAGTGAACATATATGAAAAAAGCCTATATATAATATATATATATATATATAAATTTATCATTTTACTGCTGACATACCCAAATACTTTAATTTTTTATTATCAATTATAAAATATTTCTTACATATATATATATATATATATAAATCGAAACAAGAATGCATCTTTGTAGTGATTAAGTTGTTTTTGTTCGTATGTGAAAATTATTATAAATTTTAAAACTTTTTACTCTACTCTTGGTATTGAGACCACTTTTGAATTAATGCAATGAACGTTTGAATTTATATTCGTTATCATTACATATTAAAGCAGGTTTGGTGTATTATTTTAGACGTATTATATCTATTTTAGTTTTAATCCTTTCAAGTCCATGAATTATTTTTTTGGTGGCTGTAGAAAAATTGATTCTGAAAAATAACAAAATATTCTTTCAAATAATTTTTATTCTCCCAAGTACTTTCGATCTCATCTGAAATCATCTTCCGGTTGTTAAATTATCTGTGGATGTGTATACATTAGCTCCGTAAATTCTAAATATTTTCGCTGTTCGTTTACAGCGTTTCAAATTGCATGACGGGAAAAATATTGAATTTGAAACGCTATAAAGAACCAGTGAAAAAAATATTTGAATTTACGAAACTACTGTATACATATCCATAGATATTTCAATCCCTTAAACGTGGCTGAATGGTTAACAGCACATCAGATTAAATGATGGTACTCATTAAAGGTTACAGGTTCGATCCCTGTCGGAGAAGGACATATATTCTACAAAATTCCGCGAACATTCAGCTTGGTAAATGCAATTGATACTGTTTAATTAAAAAAAAACAACAAAGCATTTACATAAATAAATTATATCTATAGAAATAACGTATGAACGGAATATATATATATATATATATATATTGCTTAAATACTTGTATCTATAAAATAACAACGTTAAACATTAAAAAAAATGTCTTTAATAAATAAATTGTCGGACCTTGTCCATTTCTTAATATATGACGTCATTTGTTTACATTTGATACGCCAGACCAGTTATGAATGTACGAGATTCATGGAAGATTGGAGTTTATAAGCAGTAAATTCGACCTTGTCTACCGAAAGGTTCTTTGTAGCCTAGAGGTAAGGCACGTCAGCGTAAATGACGGTTCCGTATAGGATGCAGGTTCGAATCCTGTCAAAGAACGAAAATTTTCTATGAAAATTTCTCGGACATTCAGGCCGGTAAATGTTATTTAATACTGTTTATCATAAACAGAGCATTTGCTTAAATACTTGTATCTATAAAATAACAACGTTAAACATAAAAAAAAATAATGTCTTTAATAAATAAATTGTCGGACCTTGTCCATTTCTTAATATATATATATATATGAATAACAATCCCTCTTTTATACATGTTTCGTTGAACATTACTAATAAGTCAATGTGATTAAGATTTTTATTGTATTTTTCCTTCATTCGTGCAAGAGATTTATTTTTTAACATTTTCCCTGCCCATACATACATACAAACATATATATATATATATATATATATATATATATATATATATATATATATTATAAAATTAATTTATTTAAAATATGTTTTTTTCGCCACACAGTTCTAACCATGTTTCAAAAATGGAAGCTAAAAGCCCCGAATTTAATTTTGTGATTTTGTGAACATTAGTTCCATTTCATCCTCAAGCGAATTTTGGAGTAACTTTTAAAATTACTGGGTTTTAAAGACAGCTAAAATCATAATTTTTGTTTCCAAGGTTAGAGATAAATCTACTTCAACTGGACAAGGGGTGTCTCGGTTATTGCTACGTTTTGGTAGTGGGTAGGGATGTATTTTTCAATGAAATATAACATCTCCGTAAATTTACATTGAGCACTATTTTGTAAAATAAAAATATCTATAAGAACACCGGATTATATATCTTACTGTTCTTTCCTTATATATATATATATATATATATATATATATATATATATATATATATATATATATATATATATATATATATATATATATATGTGTGTGTGTGTGTGTGTATATATATATATATATATATATATATATATATATATATATACAAACACACACACATATATATATATATATATATATATATATATATATATATATATGCATGCATGAAGAGAGAAAAAACAGACCTGCATTGCCCTGACATACCAACGCAGCCATGAAATTAATACACTTCAAACTTATAAACATTCAATTGGCCAGGAGGAAAGCGTTCAGTTATTGCAGTATGGAGGAATAAGCGTCTGGGGGGTTGCCCCCCACCACCCAGGGCTGGCTGAAAATCTAGTTTTCACGTTAAATGAGATTTCATTCGAATTTGTTATACTCTGAACTTTTTCTTTGCTCTTGCTCTGTGTATATGGGGAGGGTTAGTGTATTTCTAGGCGAATTTCGTTATAAAAAAATGAGGAATGCTGAGAGAGAGAGAGAGAGAGAGAGAGAGAGAGAGAGAGAGAGAGAGAGGAAAAAGGACTGTTTAGATAGACGGAGAAGTAGTAGTGGGTTGGAAGAGTGCAATAAAACCTCAAGCTGACGAAGTCATTGAAGAGTTCTTCGAGGGTTTCAAAACTGAAAATATATTTCTCAGTCAGAGACACGGTTAAATACCATTTAAAATAAAATGAAACACAAACAACAAAAACGAATCAAAAATATATGGCAAGCCAGAAAGAAATAATTTTGAAGAAATATTTTGTTATTTTGAAATTTAAATTAAGGCTTCAATTTTCAATGGTATTTTAGAAATGAAAAAAAAAGATATTGATTATTTTTATACGAGCTTCCTAACCAAGGTTTTGGAAAGTTTATCCTCAAGCCTTCTTCTTGGAAGGATTAAAATGCCATTTTCCTTCAGGACGCAAGAACTGCTCTCATTTAACCACCACAGAGAAAATTCCCTGGCCACCATCGGCATGGTTGCTGTTCGATTCTTGGCTTCACGTTTTCCAATGACTTGGAGTAGAACAACTACATTGAATCAATAGCTGCATCAACTGCAAGGAAAGTTGGTTCACTGTGTCGTGCCAGAAGTTTTTTTCTTATCAGAATCCGTCTTACACATCTACAAATATACTATTCGTCCCTGCATTGAATTCTGTTGCCATATCTGGTCTTGTGTCCCTGCCGTTCATCTCGAGATTTTTGACAAAATCCAAAGAAGGATCTGCAATGTAATCGATCCTGACCTGGCATCCCGACAACAGTCACTTTTTTTTACAGGTGTGATACGGCTTCCCTCTGTCTCTTCTACAAATATATTCATAGCAACTGCTGTGACGAGCTGTTTTTTTATTTTTTTTTTATTCCTGGTGCCACGATGACATGAATTTAAGCATGATACTAGATTGGCATCTAGGTCCCACTCTATTAAAACAGTTAAATGTAAACGCCACTTCTACTCCAACAGTTTCTTTTCTCACACTTCCCGACTGTGGAACTCCCTTCCTTTTACTTGCTTCCCAGATAACTACGATCTTCAAAAATTTAAATGAAGTGTCAACCGTCATCTTCTGTTGATTTGAACTCCGTTCATCTTTCATCCTTTCCTCAATCCACCCTCCCTATACCCAGTCTTTTCTCCCAGTTTCATTCTCTGTACACCCCTGCGTGCTAGTGGCACTTTTACCTTGCTTGGGGTGAAAAGCAATCATCGCTACCTTTCCTTTTTAACATCTGTGACTTGCCATGGATTCTTTCAAGTTGCCTTCCTTACAGTTTTGGCTTGAGGGCGCAGTCTACCGTGCTATTTAACCTGTAGCTAGTGGGGAGGAAAGATACGCGAAGAGAACATTATAGACTAGACAAAAACTTGAGCACACACCTCGTTATTATTTTTTTTTAATGACGAGGGTCTTCAGGACGAAGGTGGTCATGGCGTTTCACAGCTTCCTTTCTAATTTAACCCACAGAGTGCCGAGCTGCTATGTAGAATTAGTCCTCCTCTATGGCAGGGAACGCTGGGCATTTCATTCAGGGATAAAGAAGAGGTAACAGAGATACGGTTCTACAGAAGGAAGCTGAGAATGCCATGGACTGAAGATGTGATGAAGAAAAATGAAAACAGGAAAAATACTTACACTTAAAATTAGAATGGGACAGTTGAAATTTCCGGGAGGAAAGAGGGCTTGGAGAATTTGTCACTCACAGGACATATTGAAGGTAAAACGACTGAGCAAAACAGTGAGTAATCTACCTAACAAGCTTACCGGCAGAACATGGGGAGAAAGAAATAGTTTAAAAGTCTAAGAGCTACAAAAGATAGGAGGTTGTGAAGAGCCGTGAACTGCCCCCAGCACCGATAACCATTACACTGTTCGTGGAGCCCACCACGTCCAATAACATTCTTATGTCAAAGCTTCTTAAATGTTTTGCAGTGTTGACACACGTTCCAAATATATCATTTCTTGTAATGTCGAAGTTATTTTAGCTAATCCAAAGTTAAAAGTCAAAACGAAGATTACAAAATATGTATCAATACCTTTAGAGCGTGGGCGTTCATGGCTCTCCACAACTTCCAGTTCTTTGTAGCTCTTAGTAAGTTTTTATCTTTTTGCTATCTCTCCTAATCCTTATTCTACCAACCGTTTACACAAACTCGTTGTTTCTTTCTTCTATGTGCCATGCCCCTTCAGGACATGAACGAACAAGGCTCTCCACAACTTCCGCCCGTTTGTAGCTCTTAGTAATTTTTATCATTTTGCTGTTTTTCATGATACCTGTTCTGCCAACCATGTACACAATCTCGTTCTTCTGTTCGTCCATTTGCCATGTCCCTTCTGAACATGTGTGATCATGGCTCTCCACAACTTCCGGTCTTTTGTAGCGCTTAGTAAGTATTATTATTTTGCTATCTTTCCTAATCTATGTTCTTTCAACCATTTACACTAGCTTGTTCTTCCTTTCTTCTATGTGCCATGTCCCTTCAGGACATGGACGAACGAGGCTCTCCACAACTTCCGATTCTTTGTAGCTCTTAGAATTTTTTTATTTTTTTGCTGTTTCTTAATGCCTGTTCTGCCAACCATTTACACAAGCTCGTTCATCTGTTCGTCTATGTGCCGTGTCCCTTCAGGACATGGATGATCATGGTTCTCCACAACTTCCGATATTTTGTAGATCTTAGTTAGTTTTTTATTTTGTTAATCCCTGTTCTGTCAATCATTTGCACTAAATAGTTCTCCTGTTCGTCTATGTGCCTTGTCACTTCAGGACATGGATGATCAGGGTTCTCCACAACTTCCGGTCTTTTGTAGCTCTTAGTAAGCTTTCATATTTTGCTATCTTTCCTAATCTATGTTCTGCCAACCATTTACACTAACATGTTCTTCTGTTCGTCTATGTGCCGTATCTCTTCAGGACATGGACGATCATGGCTCTCCACAACTTCCGGTCTTTTGTTGGTCTTAGCATTCATATTTTGCTATCTTTCCTAATCTCTGTTCTGTCAACCATTTACACTAACTCGTTCTTCTGTTCGTGTATGTGCCATGTCCTGAAGGGACATGGACGATAATGGCTCTCCACAAGTTCCGGTCTTTGGTAGCTCTTAGTAAGCTTTATTATTTTGTTATCATTTCTAATCTCTGTTCTGCCAGCCACTAGCTCTGTCTTCTTTTCTTCTATGTGTCATGTCCCATTAGGATGTGGACGATCATGGCCGTGTAAACGATTTTGAACTGAGTCACGGCTGGAACGTGTGCATTGTTCAGCTCCAGCTGAGATATAGAAGCAATGCAAAGTTTTTTGGTCTAATCTAGCACATATAATGATGAAGCATGGTAGAAGGAGATAGGTACTTCCTGGAGCGATAGAATGAGCCTTTTCCTCTTTTTTTTTCAGCAATCGATCCTATATATGAGTTCCACTTGAAGTCTGCAGTAAAGACCCAACAGGCGTTCAAACGATCCAGACTCGTTGAGCGTGCAGCCATTCATCGTTGCTGCACTGCATATGGTGACTATACGATCATCGTATTGGGCCGTATATATGATTTCCATATGTGAGGTCTGGCGTGAAATTGAGACCCAGTAGACGTTCAGAGTCTCGTTGAGAACGCAAATTTTTGTCATGACTGAAGAAAATTCAGTGTTTTCTCGGCAACCGTTGATGGGAATTTTGGAAAGATGTAGTCTTAAAATATCCCATTGCTGAAGCTTTTATTTTTTTTTAAATTTTAAACAAAAAAATGTACTTTAAATCCGTATAATAAATAAATAAACTATGTTTTATTGAAGTCGCCATATCAATTTAATTTCGTTGCTCGTGAGAAAGAAATATTAATACAGGTTTCGTACTTGTCCCTCAACTGCTGTTAATAGTGGGACACAACATCGTCCAAGAATGGAAATCATTCGAATTATTTATTGGTTTAAATCACATTTGGGGTGCGGTTTTTATAGTGTAGAAAACAAACGAGTTACATCTTAAGTAATGGTTTCTGACATTATTTATAAAAATTACGAAGACATGTCAGAATGCCAGTTGAAATGAAATCTCATTAAACGAAGGAGGGAGAGGGAGAGGGAGAGGGAAAGAGACAGAAAGTGAGACAAAGAGAAAAAGAGAGAGAGAAAGAGATAGAGGAATAGAGGGACAGAGAAATAGAGGGAGAAAGGGGGAGAGAGAATAAAGTAGCGAGTGTGAAAAAGGTAGCGAGAGAAAGAGAGCAACAAAAGCAGAAAGAGTGAGAGAGTGAGAGAAAGAGAGAGAGAGAAAGAAAAAGAAAGAAAAAAGAGAGAGAAAAAGAGATAAAGAAAAAGAGGGACAGAGAAATAGAGGAAGAAAGGGGGAGAGTGAAAAAGGTAGCGAGAGTGAAAAAGGTAGCGAGAGTTAAAAAGGTAGCGAGAGAAAGAGAGCAACAAAGGCAGAAAGAGTGAGAGAGTGATAGAAAGAGAGAGAGAGAAAGAAAAAGAAAGAAAAAAGAGAGAGAAAAAGAGATAGAGAGAGAAGAGAGGGAAAAGAGATAGAAAAGGGAGAAAGATAGAAAGGGAGATGAAAAAGGGAATGAGGGAAAGAGAGGTAAGGAAAGAGAGAGAGAGAGATAGAAAAGAGAAAGAGAGAGAGAGAAAGGGAGATGAAAGAGGGAGTGAGATATATAGAGAGAAAAACAGAGAGAGAGAGAGGGAAAAGAGAGAATGAGAGAAAAAGAAAGAGAGAGAAAAGAGAACGAGGGAGAAGAGAGAGAGACAAAAAAGATATAGAAAAGATAGAGAGAGAAAGGGGGATGAAAAAGGGAGTGAGAGAAATAGAGAGAGAAAGACAGAAAGAGAGAAAGAAAGAGTAAGAGAGAGAAAAGAGAAAGAGAAAGGTTGAAAGTGAAAAAGAGAGAAAGAGAGAGAGAGAGAAAAAGAAGGAGAGAAAGAGAAAGAGAGAGTCAAAGAGGGAGAATGACAGAGAAAAAGACAGAGAGAAAGGGAGAGAAAAAGAAAGAGAGAGAAAGAGAGAGAGAAAAAAAGAATGAGAGAATGTGAGAAAGCGAGAGTGTGAAAAAGAGAGAGAGAAAAGAAGAGAGAGAGAAAGAAAGAGAGAGAAGACAAAGTGATGGAAAGAGAGTGAAAGAGAGAGAGAGAGAAAGAAAGAGAAAGCGAGAGAAAAAGAGAGAAAGAAAAAGAGAGAGAAACGTTGAGAGTGCGGAAAAAGAAGGAAACACGTCATCATAACTTGGTGCATAATCAAGTCATGTCCATTTCAGCGATTCATTAAAACTCCCTCGCTTATTATTATTATTTATTTATTTTCCGTAACATTTAAAAAGTGCTAAAATGCGTTCCTCTTTATGTCTTTTTGCACCGTGTCCCTTCAGGACTTAGACGATCATGACCCACCACAGCTTCCTATCGTTTGGAACACTTTAAAATTTTTTTTTTTTTACTATTCTTCATATTTCCTGTTCTGCCATCATTTACACAAGCTTGCGTTTTATATGCCCTGTGAGTGTTAAAATCTCCAAGCCATTTTCCTCGTCATGAGTCCTAGAAATCTCAATCATCTCTTTATGATTCTAAGTAAAAATGTAATTTTTGTATCTGTTTTTCTTAAAGCTTAATCCGTCCATGGTATTCTCAGCATCCTTCTGTAGAGTCGCGTTTCTGTTGCCTCAAGTCTCCTCTTAACCTGTAAATTCTTTGTTGTAAAGGATGGACGACACTACATAGCAGTTCCACACGTTTTTCTTTGTATCTGACGAAGTTTTCTGTTTCTTAATACATTGCTTAGATTTTGGAAGGCATCTTTTGCTGTTCCAACGTCACATTTTCCGTAGTCAGTTAAAGCCCTGTCTGAATATTTAAAACACTATACCTGGTTGATTTTTGACATCCTCGTTTTGTAGCTAGAATCGTCGGCTCTTCCTCTTTTTGACAACTATACATTATATCTTCTTACTGCTAATTCTTACCTTTCCCAAAGGTATTAGTGAGAAACTAACGAAACAGGCTCGGTTATAATATCTAAATCACCTCTCAGATTCTATTTTCTGTGGTAATAACAGCTACTCTACACACACGCCTAACCCTAGTAGATTAAATGAAGTACATCCCACTCTTGATGCAACACCATCTTACTCCTGTTACTTCTCCTCATAAAGCGTAATTGTCTAAACAGATTTTTAGAGTGTAAGAATTTTTGGAAATTATAATGATTTACTGATACGAGTCCTGCTAATTAACCCGTAGTTGGGGGGGAAGATGTGGATTCGTGCCTTTCCCGAGGGTATTTACGCGTAAGTCAATATAACGAACCCGGCTGGAATTGAAACCTAGCTCTCAGATTTTTAATTCTGAGCCCTTATCCACTACATCACCAGAATATCCAAGCTTACAGCACCTGGTATACGAGAAGAGAGACCTCAACACCGCCGACTGAGCACCACCGACTCAGCGGCGGGACAACTCATGACTGAGACAACTCAGGATCGAGACAACTCAGCACCAGAAATACATAACTTTTTTTTTTATAAGCGAATAAAAGTAATTTATTAAGGATTAAAACTTTAATTAGTGAATATTTTTCTTTGAATAAGGCATTTATTTAAGAAATGTCTATAAATCTCACTCTTGGAGCGAAATATAATAATAATTATTGTTATTTTTATTGCAACATATCGCTACATTTCACCGACATATATGAGGGTGACATCTATAGACATTCATTAAACACAGACTTATACACTTACATGTATTAACGATACCGTTTTACATACACTTATACAAAAAAGCCTTTCTTTACATACTCCTTCATACACTCATACACACTTTAACGTCCAAAATGTTCCCCATACATATATATTATTTATTGCGTTAATACACGTGACACGTATCTGACCAATGAGAACTAAATATAAATCATAACATATCAGTAGTCTGTGACTCTTTGCTTTTTTCATTTCTATCTCGATTTCGACGAAGCTTTAATAAAAGTGAAACAAATTAGATTGAGATACATTTCCGACTTGTTCTTTATTTTATTTTATCATATATATATATATATATATATATATATATATATATATATATATGAAATAATGATATATATTTTTGTATATCAAGAACAATATTGGGTAAAAATGTATGACAGAGTGGAAAAGTTTTGTTGTGACGCGTTTCGTCCTTTAGTACTTCATCGGAATAAAGTTGTTATGTTGGTGCGACTGCACATGCGCTCGAAAGAGGGATGCTGGGAATTTTTTATTTATTTTTTTAATTTTGCCGATTTCATTTAGACTCTTTTTCCTTTCATCACTTTTATTAGTAGACATTCCACACTGTGATAATAGATAATATAAAGTTCTGTCAGGGATGATGAAATGTTGTAAGAGCCAGTGCTGAAATTTATTGTGGATGACCTTGGGATCAAGCCATTCTCTAGATATTTTCGTCATAGTGAATTTTCTTCTTTGATCAGAGTGTGGTCCGAAAGTCTTGTCATCTCCTACCAAAAAGTCATGAGAACAATAGAAGAAAAATAATACACTAATAAAAAGCAGATGTACTGGAATTAGTTTATTCGCTTTCATTGACTTTGTCATACAGCGAGAAGATCATTTTTGTGGCAGCCATCTGAGATAGAAAATTATATTATGTAGGAGCGACAAGACTTTCGGACCAGCCTGAACAGATATGGATATGAATCCAACAAGATGATAACATAAGATAAAGAACAAGTAGGAAATGTATCTCAATCTATCTCACATATTTATATATTATCTATTGCGTGAATACACGTGACACGTATCTGACCAATAAGAACTAACCAAAAATCATAATATACCAGTACTCTTTGCCTCTTTGTTTCTTTCATTTCTATCTCGATTTCGACGAAGCTTTAATAAAAGTGAAACATGTTAGATTGAGATATATTTCCGACTTGTTCTTTACTTTATTTTATCACCTTGCCGGATTCCTATCCATATCTGATCTACATTTGATCTTCAGCTCATATGTATATATCGGAAAACTATGGGAACTTCATTCTCCAAACGTCTTTATACTAGAATATCTATCTGGGGTCCAAGATTGTTTTAAAAAAATGAACTGAATAAAAAAAAATATCTTTCTTAAGTTTCTTTGAAAGGATACAAAAAAAAGAAAAAGAAACAAACAAAAATTATCACTGAACGTGACGACATCATTTCTTTTCCAGGGGTCAACCGATTTATTAGGCCGACTGAAATAAGTGCAACCTTCATTATTTAACCAATGGCCTCCTTTTTCAACGCTTCTACATGACAGCCATCGTTACATATTGTCTCCAGATTGATCTAGATTTATCTGCATCGTATCCGTGTTGAACTCTGCGATTAATTAAACCGAATACTGATAAGAACAGACGTTTGCAACTGGGGAAATAGATAAGAGTTGAAAGCGAAGCCAAAAAAGAAAACGGCCCCGCGCTCGTCGAAGCCATTGCGAGAATTCTATTCATTTAGATAAAGCCTGTACTATCCTCGGCAAAAGACAATACATTGTCGCTGGCGTTGGCAGTGTTTCTGAGTGTTCCTTCATCTGCACCGTGGACTACCAAATGAAGTCGGTTTTTCCATTTGTTTTAGATACTTCCATTCCATTATCTATGATGAATAATTCGCATCATGCATTTCTAAATATTACATCATTCTGTCAAAGAATAGCAAAGGAAAAAATTGTAAATCTAAATAGGAAGACAAATACATCTTTCTCTACTCTGTACACACACACACACACACATATATATATATATATATATAATCATATATATATATATATATATATATATATATATATATATATATATATAATCATTTCTAAGATACAACGGTTCAAAAAATAAAAAAAATACAACGGTTGGATATATATTTGAACAATTTTACTGTTACCTCAGTATATATATATATATATATATATATATATATATATATATATATATATATATATATATATATATATATATATATATATATATATTTACCGGTGTAACAGCAAAATTGTTCAAATCGTAACAGCAAAATTTTCCAACCGTTGTATTTTTGAAATGTTGTTTCTTAGAAATGATTAAAGATATCTTACTGGAATTCTCCGGGTTTTTTTTGGATTCTAATTTGAACAGTAAAAATGTATTTAGCTCTAAGTTGAAATGATGATCCCTCTTCCTGTTGTGACCTCCTAATCGAGTTTTCCTCTCTACTGATCCCTCTTTTTTTAGACTTATTCACCATTCTCTTGATGGTTCTTTGGAATCTCCTGCAACTCTTCTGGACGGACTCCTTGTTTAAGTCGGTGAATGCTGCCATAATCATATCCTTCAGTTCACCTTTGGTGTTACAAAGAGTTTTGTTGCTCTCTCGCCCTCACATAATAATCAAGGGGCTTGGTCATTATATATATATATATATATATATATATATATATATATATATATATGTGTGTGTGTGTGTGTGTGTGTGTGTGCGTGTGTGTGTAATCTTGGGTTTTAGGTGACCAGATGTAAGGAGTGATGTGGTCGCAGAAGTTGTCTGAAAGACATTACTGGGTTTTCTTGCTTGTGTGGCATGGTGTAGAGACCTGTATCCAGACATAGGGTCTTCCATCAGCTACCCACTTGACCCAGAACCGTACTACCCCCTCAAGCAACTCCGTGTTGAGTCTGAGGCCCTCACCCACAATATCAGGTGTGCATTTCCTATGAGAACGATCCGAATGAGTTTTCCGAGCTGCCTACCTTCGTAATCACCATTAGACTCATTCAACTCTTTCTGAATCTTCTGCACTCTCCTCAGATTGACACCCAAACACTCTGAAATGTTCGTAATGGAGCTTCCGGCGCGAATGCCAAGCAGTACAATATGCCGTTTCTAAATTTCTAGAGGAGTGAATTGCTCCTTTTTCTGAAAGACGGTGCCAAACTAATCCTAATTTCTTGTGCAGTCGACTAAATCAAAAACAAACAATGCTCATGCGGGAAATTAAAAATAGAAAATGGCGAAAAATTTATCCATCGCACAATTTAGATATAATTTTTAATTAACATTTTATTCCAGCCTGATAATTTTTTTAAATAGTTGTAATTTGTTTAATAAATGTTTTTCTTAATGAACATATAGTTTAATATTTGTTGAGTATCTTGAAAAAAAATTTAAATAATGTCATAGGGTTTCACTTACTTTTTCTTAGCAATATATATATATATATATATAT